TCTACTCCGACCCCAGACTATTTTTGGACTATTTTGGACTCTGTTTTAAATATCTTTGGGGGTATTTTTCATTTTTCGTCGAAAACCCCCCTGTAGGGGGACACGCCCGACCTAAATCTAGGAGGCCGAGAGTCTTTGAACCACCGCCTTTAGCTGGCCATCGCTCGGACGTCCATTCCCTGTGTTTTTTTGTCGGTTTTGTGCGTGGTTTTTTCGCAAAATGATCAAGGACGCTCCTCGATGGTCCTCGCCGAAGGAAAAATGCACACGTCCGAGCGATGTCAAGTGAGGGGCTCCACGGGCCCAGGAGAGCTCGCCGACCCTCCTCGCGGCAGCGGCCGCCAGGCGGGCCTCCGCGGCCGGCGGCGCTGGGGCCTCCGCGCGGCGCTCCCGCGCGACGAGGGCGGCGCGGAAGTCGCGCCAGGCGTCTGCCGGGCGGGCGCTTCGGCGCTCTCTCTCTCCCCGCGCGCCCCTGGCTGCTCCCTCGACCTCGCGTCCTCCTCCTCCTCCCCCTCCCGCCTCCCCCTCCCCTCCCCTCCTCCTCCGTCCTCCTCCTCCCTCCCTCCTCCTCCTCCTCCTCCTCCTCCTCCTCCCTCCTCCTCCCCCTCCTCCGCCTCTCCTCCTCCTCCTCCTCCTCCTCCTCCTCCTCCTCCTCCTCCTCCTTCGACGCTCCCGCGCCCTGCTGCTCTCTCTCGAGGAGCCGGCTTGTTGTTCCTGGAGTTCTGGTCGGTGCTTCTCCCGATGCTCCGGCCCTCCTCCTCCTCCTCGCTCCTCCTCGCTGCTCCTCCTGGCGCTGCCCGCATCGGCGTCCCTGCTGGGAGGCTGCCACCCCTCCTCCTCCTCCTCCTCCTCCTAGCCATTTCCCTTCAGGGAGGTGCAGCCCTCGCGCACTTGGAAGTGGCGCAGCGGGGGCGGGCCAATGGCGGTGGTAGACGGCATCCGGTGTTGAACATGAGGATCTACCGCCAAAAGGAGGTGACCAAGGCTGGGAAGCACTGAGATCTCGGCGCAGTCGCCACGGGTGTGGGGGTTGTCTCCTCGGGCGGCATCGGCTACTCGTTCGAGATTGCCTCGTATGCCATCGTCGGCGATTCCTTCGGAGTGCTGTGCATAGTGTACGGCATTCGCGTGGAGATGAACCACCAGATGGTTGCTGTGAAGGGCGTTCTGGCAGACCAGACGGGCGGAGCAGTCCGCTCGGAGCCGCTATTCGGGTGGAGCATTCCGCTTGGGAGTGGCAGCGCCAAGGAGTTCGGCGGACTGCTCGAGTCGCTGGGCACAGCCTAAGAGGCTGATCAGTCGTAGGGTCCTCTGGGTGGCTGGGTTTGCATGTCGCCGCCGCAGGATCCGCCTCTTTTTCTAGGGCCGTTGGGCCCGTTTCCCGCCTGTGGCGGGTCGCCGCCGCTGGGCGCAGCTCGAAACACCTCGCGCGGGCATGGGTCCGCGCGTCGGCCGGCGCGCCAGGGGTCTCTAGGAGAGACTCGTATCATCGGAGCCCTCGGAGCCCTCCTCCTCCTCCTCCTGCTCCTCCTCCTCGATCCTCCCAGGATCCAATTGCTCTGCAAATTCTGGCAACGCCGTCGTGCTAACGACGAAGGTTCGCAGGAGCAAGATGTCATGCTAATGATGCGCTCCAAGACTTCCAATATTTCCTAATCGAGCTGTCGAAACGAGGGCCGCTCGATGCTCCAGAGCTCTTGGGACGCATCCTGAGCCAACCGCATGGAGCCAGGTTGTCGCTATCTTCTACTATGCTTACTTGCATGGAGGGGGGGCGCGTGGCGAGACTCAATAGGAAATCTGGACTTCACTCGCTTGCGCGCCTTTTCGGCCCAGTGCTGTTTGAGAAGGCGGCGGAGGGGGGAAGGGGGAATGCCATGCAAATACACTTGCCCGAACGTCGAGAAAAACACAGCCTCAAACGAGCGCGCGGTCCTGCCGTCTTGGGACCATCGCTACTTTTTCTGCTGTTTTACATCAGGCGCTCCCTCGATCACCGAATCCAGTACCCTGTGCCTGAAGATATGGAACCGAAACGCTTGTGGAGAGGTCAAGGAGAGGTCAAACAGGGGCCCATCGCAGCTTTGTCGGCGATGGGTCGTCGATTCCAGGTCCGTGTCTCCCCCCCGAGCCAGTCCCCCCAGTAAAGAGCGGGCTGCGTTTTTTTTCGCAGGTGGGCAAAACTGGAGGCATGCGGTGCACTCGCAGAAAGCGCCCCGCCTTCGAGAGATCGATCGGGTCGATTGACATCTCACCTTCGGCGGAAGTATAACGGGGGGCGGCTCCGCTGGGAGAAGGCCAGTTGGAGGAGGCGGGAGTAAACATCGGCCTTCCAAGAGGCACACACGGTTTTTGGATTTGGGTTTTCTGGAACGTGACATGACACCGCAAATCAACAGGAGACAACAACACGTAGATCACGGGGCGGTCGACACGTGCATCCGCAATCGTCGCCTCCGCCTCTCCCGGAGAGGCGACGGCGGCAGCCCCTCTTCTCCGCCGACGCGTTTGTGTCGCGACATGGTCCCCCCGGGGATCACGACCTCTTCCCTGGGACCGGCTTATCATCCTGAGTAATTTGTTGACGGTCCCAGGGCTGGGAGACAGGGCGAACATACCGAGAAGCCAACCATTTCGGTTTCTGTTGCAACGCCCAGATCTGTGGGACCACTCGTGGTGCGCAGCAGACGTGGGCGGGACACATATCCATCCCTATACCACCACCCTTCGGATGACAAGGAGTTTTGAGGGGAAAGAACCAACTGAGGACAACTGCGATGATTGTGATGGTGGCGGTGCTGGTGATGCGCTCACGAGTTGGCGACGCTGCAAACAACGACGGGACGCCGACGGGACACCACGGGACACCGACGGGACACCACGGCGGAACGCCCCGGGTCACCACCCGCCGACACCGACGGGACACCATGGCGGGACATCCGCGGCCACGCAGGCCCATCAGATGGGCGGTCTCTTGTCTTGACCCGCCCTAGCCACAGCGTCGTCATTCCTCTCGCCCGCCCACGCAGCTTCGCCTCGCCCGCACGCACGACACGACCTCGACACCGAAACCGATTTCCCGGTTGGGGTGCTCTCCGCTCCACTTCGGTCTCACCCCCCAACCTCCGATTTCCAGAGGTCCGATGCTTTGGTTTTGTTAAACACAAGGTCTCCAGACGACCCGACCCTTGCCGCAGGGTTGGATTTTCACTCCGAGCCGTTCTCATGCTCTGCAGCCCGAAAGCGGCCCCCGAAGGCCGAGAAAGGCGAACAACATCCGCCTGTATTCGTTCAGACGTTGGATGCTTGGGTCTCGGGCCACAGCTCTGGCCTTCGCGGGTCACTCGAGACTATTCGGGCACCCCCAGAATGTTCTCGGCGAGGCGCAGCTGCTGGCAAGCATTCCGAAGCGAGAAAACCTCTAACCGCCCACGAAAGCCCGCGAAAACCAAGGCGCGACCCTGCGCTCTGGCCAGAACCTCGAGGCGCATCTCGTCGCGTGGCCACGAGTAGGCCCAGAGGCCCAAGACGCCAGATAGATCCTTCCAGCCTCGATGCCGAAGGGCAGCGCTCGGCTACACGCACGAGTGACCCTGGGTAAGAGTGACCTTGGGTGCGCGGCTTTTTGGGGGCCGCGTGGAGGCCAAATACAAGCGCGCAAGACGCTGCCAACGCATCGCGATCGGCGATCGGGGGGCCCGAATGCACTCCTGCGAGGGGTCACTCTTACGCGTAGTCGAAACGCCCCTCCAAATCCCTTATTAATCGCCCCCTGGGTCCAATTTTTTAAGGCACCTTCTTTGTAACTGGGGGGGGTCCGGTTTATTAGGGCGATTTCGCTGGATTGGAGCTTGGGGGGCTCGGTTTGTTGAGGCGCCCCGTCGAAGAGGGGGGTCCAGAGTATCAGGTCGCATTTGGAGGGGGTCCGGTTTTTGTGGGGGGGCGATTAATATGAAGGGGCCCTGGGACACACAAATAAATACACGCAAATAAAACGATTCCCCACATTTTCCCACATTTTTTGGACTTTCGTCTCCCCCCCCACTTCCCATATTTTCCCACATTTTCTGGGAATCGCCGATTCATTGTGTCTGTGTGTTTTCTCCCCTCCTGCTAATAAGGGATCTGGACTAGGGGGGACCAGCTCAGAGGGAGGGACACACACATCAACCTGGCACCGGCGAGGCCTCGCCGACACGTTGGCGACAGGCCTCCTGATAAGAAAGGATTTGGACTAGGGGGGACCAGCTCAGAGGGAGGGACACACACACACATCAACCCGGAACTGGGCGAGGCCTCGCCGACAGATCGGCGACAGGCCTCCCCGGGCGCGCACCTCCGCACGCTCCCCCGCGCGGGGCGTCGGGCCGCGGGACCCCTCCCGGCGATCAAAAAGGGGGGCGACTGTACAGTCGAGGCGTTGACTTAAGCAACCCTAAAGAAGCAACGAGGCCCCTTTCTTTCATAAGTTACCCTTCGACTTCCCGTCGGAAACTCAAGGAAAACCTTGGGCAAGGTGTGGAACAATCAAGGGACGCCGAGCCCCTCCCCAACGAAAAGGGTTCCTTCTTCAGCGCCCCGACTGTAGAGGAACAAAAAAAACGGCACACAGCGGAGGCCAGTCCACAAGAGAGCTTCCACAAGAGACCCAACCCTGAGATCCCAGGACGTCCCTTGATTTTTGGTGCGGGAACGCCACGCTCCCCGTCGCAAACCATCGACACCCAGGAAACCCTTGGCGCCCTGGAGGCAAGCAGGGTGTTTCTTGGCATGGCCCCCTGGTGTAAACGTAACGTTTTGGCGGTCCGCGCGGAGTTCTTGGATCTGAGCTGGACCCCCCTCGCTGGCGCGAGGAGCGCGCTAGGGGCGGCGCCGGAGGCGCCGCCAGGGGGGGGGGGCGGCCGGCGCAGATGGAAAGAGATCCGCGCGGAGCGCCAACAGTTGATGCTGATGTCAAGTCGGGCCTATATCCTTCTACAGGAGGCATGTTCAAACATAGTCGTCAGAAAACAATCTGGGGAGGCCTGTAGGGGGACATGCCCGACCTAATGCTTGCGCCGTCCTCTGTTCTTCGAGATTGATCCCGTGAGCCCATCCCTCCCTCCCTACCTACCTCCCCCCCTCCCTCCCTCCCTCCTCCCTCCTCCCTCCTCCCTCTTCCCTCCTCCCTCCTCCCCGATCTCAGGAGGCCCCCCCCCCTAGAGCTGCCCGGCTCTCTGGCGGCCGTCCGCGGCGACAAGAGGGGCAGCCCTGGAAAAAAGGCGCTCGGCGAGGCGCGGCCGCTGGGAGCGCCAGGCCCGAGGCCGGGGGGCCGCCGGGAGGCGACGAGGCCGACGCGAAACCCGGAGCCTCGAGCCTCGAGCCCACCTCGAACCTCGAGCCTCGAACCCAGAGCCTCGAGCCTCGAGCCCACCTCGAACCTCGAGCCCACCTCGAACCTCGAGCCCACCTCGAACCTCGAACCCACCTCGAACCTCGAACCCACCTCGAAGCGACGAGCCTCGAGCCTCGAAGCCACCTCGAACCTCGAATCCCCCCCCCCCCCCCCCACCTGGGCAGCAGCGAGCAGCCAGAGCCTCGGACCGCTCGCCCAAACTCCCTCGCACCTCGAACACCGCCGGCAGCCACCGGGGGCGCGCGCACACACATGGATCAGCGATCCATGGCTTTGGCGCGCGGTCGCCAAATCTATGGATCGGGTTACGTTGCTCCCATCGTACTTAAGGACCACATCCCAGAAATAATTTCGAGCACCCAGAAAAGTGTCGAAAGAGTGTCGAAACAGTGTCGAAAGAGTGTCTCCCAGGGCTCGACACGTGAAAACCCTCGAGTTTGGGGGTGTTTTCTTGGTGCTCGAAATTCATTCCGGTGATCAAGGCTAATGTAGGTTGGGACATCATAAGGATCGGGGCAGGTGCCCTGCCCAGAATGCGGCCGGTGCCGCCCCGTTCGGCGGCGGACCTCCGCGATTTCCCATGGAAACGGGACCCGTCGCTCATCCACGCCCCCATTGATCCATGTTTGCGATGACCTGATGCTCGAAGGCCCGAGGCTTCCTCCTCCTCCTCCTCCTCCTCCTCCTCCTCCTGCTTCTTCTTTTCTTCCTCCTCCTCCTCCTCTTCCTTCTCCTCCTCCCCCTCCTCCCCCTCCCCCTCCTCCTTCTCCTCCTCCCCCTCCTCCACCTCCCCCTCCCCTCCACCCCCCCCCCCACCTCGTTTCTTCTGTTTCTTCATCCCTCCTCCTCTCCTCCTCTCCCTTCTCCTCCTCCCCCTCCTCCCCCTCCCCTCTCTCCTCCTCCTCCAGCTCCTCCTCCTGCCCCTCCCCCCTGCTCCTCCTCCTCCTCCGCCTCCTCCCCCTCCTCCTCTCTCCTCCTTCCTCCTCCTCCTCCTCCTCCTCCTCCTCCTCCCTCGCTTCCTCCTCCTCCTCCTCCCCCTCCTCCTGCCTCCTCCTCCCCCTCCCCCCCATCCTCCTCCTCCCCCTCCTCCTCCTCCTCCTCCTCCTCCTCCTCCTCTCCTCCTCCTCCTCCTCCTCCTCCCCCTCCTCCTCCTCCTCCTCCTCGATCCATGTTTGCGATCGCCCGAAGCCATCGACGTCGCACCTGCGGGGGCCCTCGACCGCCCCCCCCCCGCCGCCGGGCCTGACGAGGGGCCGCTGCACTGCCGCCCGCGGGTGCGGGGCGCCCGCGGCGCCGGCGCGGCTCCTAGAGGTCGCGGGGGCGCCGTGCTCGGTGGGCAGGCGGGGAGGATGCAGGATGACGGTGATGGTGGTGGTGATGGTGATGCTGACGAAGATGCTGACGAGGATGATGGCGATGACAATGACGATGATGCTGCTGCTGCTGATGATGGTGATGACGAGGATGATGACGATGATGCTGCTGATGATGGTGATGACGAGGATGATGATGATGATGGTGGTGATGATGATGGTGATGGTGATGACGGTGATAATGATACGGCGGTGGTGATGATGGTGTTGATGATGATGGTGGCAATGATGATGATGATGGTGATGATGATGATGCTGCCGATGAATACGATGATGGTAATGGTGATGATGCTGATGATGCTGACGAGGATGATGACGACGATGATGATGTTGATGATGATGGTGGTGGTGTTGATGATGACAGTGATAATGATAAGGCGGCGGTGATGATGGTGGTGATGATGAAGGTGGCGAAGATGATGGTGATAATACTGGTGGTGATGGTGATGGTGATGATGATGGTGGTGATGATGATGGTGTCGATTCCGGTGATGATGATGATGATGATGATGATGATGATGATGATGATGATGGTGGTGGTGGTGATGATTGTGATGATGGTGATGATGGAGGTCACGGGGCACCATGCTCGGTGGGCATGCGGGACATCGGTCGCTCGAGGGTCCATCGGTCTCCCGACGCAGTGCTTGCACTTCAGGGCCCTTGCTTGCGTTTGTGAGTGCTTGCATAGGTCTCCCGAGGCTTCGAAGCGTGCCGGCTTATAGTGTTATGTCGGGCGTGTCCCCCTACAGGGGGATCCTCGACGAAAAATGACAGATACCCCAAACATACCCCAAAACGGTTAACAGATACGCAAAATATAGCCCCCAGGCTATTTTTAGGGGTATTTTTTATTTTTCGTCGAAAATCCCCCTGTTGGGGGACAGGCCCGACTTAATTGTAGTGCCGCCCCGCTGCCGCCCGTTCTGCCGCCCGTGGGGGTGCCCCCCGGGGATCCGCCGCGCTCCGGCCCCCCCCCATGTGCGAGCCGCCAAGAGGGAGGCTCAAGGATCGGCACTCGAAGACCTAACCTCGAGAATCCAGTCTTTACTAGGGCTCCCAACTTCGCGCTTCGCGCTGCGCGAAGCGCGAATAACTTCGCGCTCTCGCGCCGCTCTCCCAAAGGGAGAATAGGAGGACGAGGAGGAGGGGGAGAAGGAACGAGGACCGCGAAGCGCGAAGCGCGAATAACTTCGCGCCCTCGAGGGAGCCCTTACTTTAGATGTGGGCGTCGCAGAACAGCGCCGACGGCACATCTTTTGACGCTTTCAACCTCCAGGGGGCCGACCTCGTGGCTGGCCCAAGTTTTGCGACGCGGCCCAGGCTGGCCCCAGTCAGCGCTGACCTGCCCCCCCCCCCCCCCCCCGCATCCCAGGCCCCCCCCCCCCCGGCCCCCCCGAGCCAGGAACCCGGCCGCCCCCTGACATTCGCCCAGATTTTTCGCAGACTCGCTCGATATCCGTGGGCCCCGCTGGTGTTAGGTCGGGCATGTCCTCCCACGGGCGGATGTTTTGGACGAGAAATAAAAAAACAGCAGTGAAACCAGAAGCTGGACGAGAAGTTAAGATCGAACGAGTAATGAAAGGCTGCCAAAAACTGTATGCCCCCTAAACAGCAGGAGATCGTGGACAGTCGCCCCCCGACTGCGTGTTGACTGCCTTCGAGCCTTCCTGCTTCAGAGGGACAGGCCCGACCCGACGCCAGTGGGGTCCCTCCCTCCCCGCCTGCGGGGGCGCGCCGCCCCCGCAGGGGCGGCCCAGGTGGCGCCTCGCCGCCCCGGGCCGGCGGAGGAGGCGCGCGAGGGCTCCTCCCGTCGGACCGCGCAGCGAGGGGGGGGGGGCGCAGCGAGGGAGGGGGGAAGGCCTCCCCGAAGGAGGCTGCTTCCTGAGAAGCCTTCGCCCTTGCCCCCCCTACAGTCGAGGCGTGGACCCCAGGAATAGGGGGGGGGGAAGGCCTCCTCGAAGGGGGCTGCTTCTGAGAAGCCTTCCCCCCTGCCCCCCTACAGTCGAGGCGTTGACCCCAGGAAAAGGGAGGGGGGAAGGCTTCCTCGAAGGAGGCTGCATCCGAGAGGCCTTCCCTGGGGAGGGCTTCTTCGGAGGAGGGAAGGCTTCTTCGGAGGGGGGAAGGCTTCCTCGAGGGAGGCTGCTTCGCTCAGTGCCAGCATCGGCCACGCGGCGGGGGCGGCTACGCATCGTGCTGTCAGCAAATGCCGAGGTACCGCAGCTCTGAAACGGACCGCGGGACGGGCCGACAAAGAAAAGCGGGCCAGGCAGGGGACAAAAACGGGCAGGGGAGCGAGAAGCCGAGGAGCGAGAGGCGGAGGGGGAGAGGGAGGGAGGACGACAGGAAAGGACATGCGAGGCTGTTTCTGAGAAGCCCTCCCTCCTCCCCCCTACAGTCGAGGCGTGGACCCCAGGAACCCCAAGCAAGGAACGAGGCACCTCTTTTTTCTCAGAAGTTCAGCTTCGGCTTCCCATCGAACGCTTGAGGGAAACCTTGGGCAAGGTGTGGAACAACCCCCACCGACAAGGGCTTCTTCTTCAGCGCCCCCTACTGTTACCTCCCTTCTGCGCGTGGCCGATCATCAGGGAGGCGCTCGTCACGGGGCACCCTCCGGCGAAGCCGCTCCCGCGGAGACTGGGGCCAGGACGAGAACGCTGCCACGATTCGCTCGGCGCAGGGTGCTCCCCAGGAGTTCCAGCACGCCTGGCGGCCCTGGTTCCTGGAGCCCGTGCGGGACACCAGGAAGCCTGGCAAATCCTAGCATTAGGTCGGGCGCGTCCCCTTACAGGCGGATTTTGGAGGACACATAGACCATAGGCAAAACATACTCCAAAATGGTCAACAAATAATGAAGAAGTTGTTCCCAGACTTTTTTCTTTTTTGTTATAATTTTAATACCCTCCTGTGGAGGGACAGGCCCGACTTAATCCTAGCAGATTTGGCACGACTCATCATCATGACTTCGTGCTGCCCTGCTGGAGGGCGGATCGAGGATCGAGGATCGAGGCCTTGGGCCCTCTTCTAGCCTCCAAATTCCTGGAAGAGGCCTCTCTGGCGGGGTGCAGGAGCGCCGGCTGGCATTCCGCGGCGCTGCTTGATGCACGCCCAAGGCCTGGATGAGCTCTAGACGCGAGACTCTCCGACTCTCCCCTGCCATAAGGGCACCAGGTGGGGGTGGGGGCCAAAGTGGGGTCGGAAGGAAAACCACTCCCAACGGCCCCTGGAAAAAAGGAAACGCGCTATAAACGGGAGCATCAAGCTGGGCCCGTTCCCCAACCACACCCTGGGACACGAGCCTCCGAACCTGAGACCCTGGCGTCTCATTTTTTCGAGCTGGGCGTTCTCGCCCGGTTTCGGGCCCCCCAAACCCTCACAGATCGATCCGGCTCGAAGCATGGCGCAGGAAGATGGGACCTAGGGCTCCGCGGTGGTGATGTGTACGATGTTTCCCTTGTCTTCGTGACTCCGGATCTCAGGGTCAGGCCAAGTAGGCATGAATGTTCTTGCGCGAATTCTGAGCTGGGCGCTGAGATCCCACAGGCCCAGGCATCCGACGACGTGCCTTCTTCGGTCCGCGGCCCTGCAGGGCTCCCGACCGCCTCCACTGGGACCGCTCTCCACCACGGGTCTGTCTCTGCGACGGCCCTCATTCCAGAGGCCAGAACCCCGATCATCGGATGCCATTCGTTTGCAGTCGCGATCGGCAACGGCCGATCGGCACCGCAAATCGGCCGCTCGGCTGTCGCGACCAAAACTGGGGAAACCCAACGGCACCGATGCCGCTACTCCTAAGACCTCTCCCGGGGTGCGCTCTGACCAGCAGTTCGAGGCGAAACCGGAGGTGGCGACGAGGGCCTCCCGAGGCGGCCCAAGAAGGGGAGACCGAGGCCAGGGTTAGGGGTAGGGGTACTTTCTTCCTCCTCCGAATTAGACCCTGACGTCCTTCGGAAGCCGGGCAAGGGCTGCTAAATCCGTGGCTGCCAAAGTCGACCTCGGGGAAGTCGTCTTCGTCCTTCCGGGAAGAAGCCCGTTGACTGTTCCGCGTGCCGCACCTCCTTCCGGGAAGCTGTTTTTTCCTTCCGGGAGGGCCGTTAGCTCGCTCCCCTCCCACACTTTCTTTTTTGCATTGCGCACGGCACTGAAGCAAGAGCGAGGTGCAGCGGCACCTCGCCGCGCGGACTGCCACCGGCGCCCCAGGTGCAGGCAGAAAAAGAGGGTGGGAGGGTGGGACAAGCGGTCCCCCCGGATCCGACACTGCTGCAGAGGCACAGAGAGGGGAAGGAGAAGCAAATGGTTGAGAGGTCAGAACATGCATGGGGCAAGCAGTGCTACCTTTGCTTCACCTTCGTGAATCAGCGTTTTAGCAACCACGGTTTTTGGGCGCCCGAGTTATCTGGGGTAACTCGGGTCCGGGGTAAGTCGGGTTTGGATTCCCGAAAAAGGAACCCGAGTTAGCCCTGACCCGAGTTACCCCTGATGATTCGGGGCTCTGGACGCCCGAGTTATCCGGGGTAACTCGGGTCCGGGGCAACTCGGGTTTGGATTCCCGAAAAACGAACCCGAGTTATCCCTGACCCGAGTTACCCCTGATGATTCGGGGCTCTGAGGTTTGAGTAGCCCTCGCCCAGCTTCCGAGTCCTCCGAGCGGGGGCGAGAACAGCACAGGTGCGGCCGGCGCCCGCGTCGGAGCAGGGCGCCGCCGCGGGTCCTGGCCGCGCCGCGCGGGGGCCCACGCCCGCGAAGCGAGCGGCCGGCACCGCGGCGGCGGGCGCCGCGGCGGGCGCCGCGGCGAGCGCGCAGAGGGCGGCGGCCTCGGCTGCGGACAGCCCTCCACTGAAGGGGCCCTGGGACACACAAATAAATACACACAAATAAAAATATGTCCCATATTTTCCCATGTTTTCAAGGTTTTTGTCTTTCCGCCCAGTT